GTCCGATCACAATACCCCTCATAAAATCATCTATATGGCTGGAAGTGCCTTCATGGATGGCGGCCTGGCATTCTCTCATATTACATGTATCCTCCGGGACATAAACCAACTTTCTTCGATAATTCGTCTGGCAGAAATAAAAACACGAATATTGGCCATTCTGCCCGTTCCTTCCCTTATATCTTACTTCACGTGCGTCAGAGAGCTGCGCATTTCACATCATTTGCCTAACTCAGTAACGTGCGTCTACTCTAAAATTTGCATAAATTTCTGACCACTCCTTCTCGGTGTTGCATTTTCAATGTCGAGCAGTGTATATGAAGGAGAAGAAACATGACCATTCCCAAAAAAGGGGCAGCGTTAATTCCCTTTGAGAAGTCAACCCTCTTCTGGGAAATCAGCAGTAATTTACTTACTTTTTTAAGTATCTACTGTTATACCTATTTTTTTTTTTTTTAACTTTCTATCTTTTTTCTTTTTTTTGAATGTATGTTTTTGAGGCATACAATTACAAATTTTGAACTTCTTTTAAGTTTAATACAAGTTTTTAATGGTTTTTTTCTTTTATCTTCTTAAGTATTAACATTTCCTAATTTCAATTTGGAATAGGTTTACACTTCCTTTCCTACGAGATAATCATAAATCATAAATAGAAAATTAATAATTAAATTTATATATATACATACACTAATACTTCAGGAGACTGAAAAAACAGCAAGATAATATTTATTTTGAGATTACAAATAAACTTCTAGCTGATTTTAAACTTATTTAGACGATTACAAAAAACAAAATAAAGGTAGCAAATGAAACAAAAAAAAGCAAGAAAACTGGCCCATAAGCTCTTTTGTAAGTGTGAGAAAAATTTATTCTTCCTTGCAGTTGCTCTTTGCTGTACTTGTTGGAGATACTGCAATTTCTTGAATCAAGCTGTATCTTTTTTTGAATTATTCTAACATATTTATATGTTACTTTCAGCATCTAAAAAAATAAAACAGAAGATTTTAACTGACAGCTTGGCTTCTTTGACATTAGTATCCTTTTGTGACATTAGTTGGTAAAGCTAAAGTTAATGTGGTATGATATCCATTTGTGTCCGACAATTTTATTTTAAATTTAAATTCTCACATTTGTCAGAAATTACCAGATCGGATGAAATCATTTGTTAATTTCATGAGTTCCCCCCTTCAAATTGCAGTTATTGAATTATTGAAATTTACAATATCTCAGTAATATTTATTTGTTAAATTCATATGATGTTTCTGGAAAGTATGAAGCAATCATAATCACATACTAACCACGACTTTGCTTTTAAAATTATTTTATAGTGTCTCAAATAAATATAGTAAGTAAATATATGTAAATAAATGAAGGCAGATTTAAAGTCTGCTGATTATAATCTATTACATTTTCTATTGTTTGATACTTAATGATGTTTTAATATAAGCAAAAAAATTAGTTGAATGTTTAAGAGTACAGCTTATTTCTAAAACTAAAATAGCAGAATAAAAATAATATTATTCACTTACAAATTTAATGAACATATCATAAATGCTGCAGAGAGGAAACTTAACCCCTTGCCCTCCCAACCAAAAAAGAGGATCTTCTTAAATAAATCTTTAATAAAACTGGGAACATAATGCTATCATTAAATGATTTCATTTGACTGAAAATTTGATAAATGTGAGGCCTTAATTTAAAAATAAAATTGCCTTGATATAAATAACTTAAGCAGCTACCATACAAATTAGAATTCATTCTTGAAAATAAATCTTTATATATGCTTAGGCATTAAAGGGAGTGAATTATTTGATAAAATTTAATTTCAAAGTATCTAAATATGTAAATACACCTCTCAAAATTTTAAAATCAATAAAAGTAAACTAGGTATTCATTGTTTATAAAGGTAATGACAAAAGACAAAAATTAGGCCTGTTTTAGCCTCAGTGAGAAACAGTCAGTCAAGTTATCTGCACATGCATACATAATTTATGCTTTACACATATACATGCGTATAGTTTATGTTTCTTCAGCAAGAGAAAATTTTCTCAGTTTTCCATTGCTAAGTATTTAATGTTTACTATCTCAACCTTTCATCAATGGAAAAAGCTGCAGTAGTTTTTTCCAAGAGGAAGGGATTTCAATGTCCAAAAAATTTCTTGAAAATGACTATACTATGCAACTGTATATCAGAAAAGAAACCATCTTATGGCTACCTTAAAGTGGCATTTCAGATATGTTTCTAATTATTGAATGTATTTTATATATGTCAAATATGATATTGTACATACTGCATGTATATGTTGTTGTCATTTTGGACATGTATCTATATGCCGTTTATTTTACATAAATTTCTTACAAAATTGTATTAAATGAAATGAGGAAAAAAATTACTATTAAATTGTTTCTCTATATGTAGATTACCTAAATTATGCATTGCATGAGCTGTTGTGTATCGGTAACTGCTTGCTTCTTGTCAAGGTAACTTTTTCACAAAATTTTACTGTAAATCATTTATAGAATGTGATACTAAAACTATTGGTTGCTTTAAGAATTTTATTTACATTGCTAGTGACATTTACTATCTGCAAGAGAAATTTTATTACTCTAAAACTTTAAATACATCCAAGATCTAACACACCAAATATTCTCTTGAACTATCCTGCAAAATATTACAGCTAAAAAACTGATTTCAATGAGATTTTACATTTCCTGCAGTTTTCCCTAAGAATTTTAAGAGATATAATTTTATGTATACAACTACATATTTTAGTATTTCATTATTAAATTACCTTGTTTTAATAAAATAATTATAATTTTTATATATAGCAATTAAAATAATTGTTTTACTAATAATAATGTGATCTCTTGTTAGAATGCAATTTCTGAATTTGATGCAGGCTATGTGCTATGCCTGTTTCTAAATTATTATTATTTTACTTAATGAAAAGTTACTTATTATTAATTTTTTGTTTACTGTTTCCTTGACCTTTTTAAGTAATGCTTTGCTTATTGACACAATATAGAAGATAAGTAGAGAATTTCTGTACCATTTTATGAAATGGTATTGCTAAAGAACTTTGTCAAAAGTGCAAAAAAATCTTAATCAGGCATTGTATATGGCAGACAAAAAAGTTAAATTTATTTACTAGTATTACTATTAATGTAGTTAACAGGTAAATGTTTTACAGAAATTTTCATTTAATATAAGTGAAAACTCTCATTCAAAATAGAAAGTAAAAACTAATAACTAATTTAAATCCTTTTAGAAAGCTTAGATAAAATATAATTTTAACATAAAACCTCACATTATATTTATCCTCTCCTTCCACTTAACAATACATTTTATTTTCCTTTCGATATCCTTTTATTATGTTACTCATCTATATTTTCTAATGCTTAACATGCAATTAAAATAGATGATAATTGCATTTCTTTATTAATGGTGCATATTTAATTACTATATATTACAAAGTAATTATTTAATTCCTATGATCTAAACATAAACAGTTTCATGCACAAAATTATACTTATTTCATTAATTTTATTAGATTCACCGTAAAGCCTTAAAAAGACAATATAATAATAAATATCTTCCTTATTTCTTAATATAAATGGGGCTAAATTAATATAATGATGCTTTCCAGCAAATTTAAAGCTTATGTGTATAAGATATTATACAGCAATGAAAAAAAAATTAAAAATTTAAAACATTTTCCAATTTAAATATGAACTGACTGAAATTTTTGGTACTACTGCTCTTGTATTTAAGGATAAAGAATATTTGTTAATCCACTGACTATGAATACAATCTTCATAAAAATGAAGGATATGATTCAAATGAAATCGTAAATTGATGGAAAAATAGTATTTTTCCTTATTAACGTACTACCAGGTTTAAATACAAACACAATAAAGAATGCTTCCTACATATATTCAGGATAAATGCTGAACATGGGATTCATGGATCTTGCAGTTAGAGGGTCAACCAAGACAATAAATTACACTCTTAAACAGCAAAAGTACTTTAGTTACTTTAATTTATATTAAAAGGCATTTACAAGGGGTTCATTAAAAAAAAAAAAAATTAAAAAAAAAAAAAAATTCCCCAATATACGAATTTGTAGTGGCCTATCCATTCAACCAATAGAAATGAAATTTCAGATATTGTTTTTGGAAGGTATGCACTTGAGATTGTAATCATTTAAAACAATACAGCTGTCATAGTTACAATGACCAAATTTTTTGAATGACAACATCCATTTTTTTCTTGCACAAATTGATTAATGCATTGAAAAACAATAAACGGCATCAAAATGATATATGTAAACATTACAGGAATAAAACATCTGTACGGAACAGCATTGTAAACGATCAATGGCAACAAAAGAGAGGACAGGAAAAAAACTTTTATTGGAATTAACAAGTTTTCAACACGCCCACCTTCGCAAATGATAATGCATTGCACGTGGGAGATGGTTGATAACAATGATGAAAGTAACATCACAGGAGGAATCTGTATAACTTCACGTTTTATTGCAACTATCAGTTCTGATAAATCTCATGAATTTGATGTGTACACTTCAGATTTCAGATAACCCTAGATCCAGAAATCCAGCGAGGTCGAAGGATCACAATGGCTACGAAACTGCAAAGTTACACGAGAGAACTCTTATTTTGAAATGCTGTACACATTGAAAACTTGTAATTCCAATTGGTCCTTTACACTAGTCTTTTTTGCTTGCTATTTTTGCCATACACGTTTCACTCCAATGCCATTTATTGTTTTTTCACTGCATTGATCAACTTGCACACGAAAGAAATGAGTATTGCCATTTGAATTTTTTTTTTATTGTAACCATCATCTTGAGAGTTCTATTGCTTTAAATCATCACAATCTCAAGTGCATACCTTCAAATTACAATACCTGAAATTTCATTTTCGTTGGTTGAGCGGATAGGCCCCAAGGGGTTTATATAAAATTAAATTTATTAACTTACCCCTCAACTTGCCCTAGTGAAGACAGCAATGGAGTGAAAACTGTGGGTTGCTTTTCTTCTTTGCGAGTAATGCCCACTGCAAAAATTGAAACTTAATAAATACAACTAGTAATAAAAATTTGACTTCATAAAACAAAAATCGACTTTTAAAAAAGCATTCAATTTTAATTTATCTAAAGGAAAACTTGCCTGCTAGACTTTCTGCAGATCTGTTAACAGACCCACTGCCATCAGAAGAAACGCTGAGTTTTGAGCCCACCTTGAATGTTTACAAATTAATGAATAAAATTTCAAATATATATTTGAGACAGCAAAAATAAAAAATATATTATATTAAATTAAAATTTTTCTTCAAAGATAAGCTCACCATTGAATAAAATATTAAAAAAAATAAGTTAAGTACTATGTTCTAGATGCATCTTGCTGTATATATATTAGGTATGGAAAACAACAAACACAGTGATGTTTAATAAATTAAATTAAATAATCTCTACTGATTCTTCAAGGCTATCAGAAAAATTAAAGCAACCTAATACTACTATGACACATGCATGACAAATTTTACTCATTAAAAAGTAGTTTGTTGTCGAGCTTAAGCTTTTAACTGTTAAATACTGCCAATTATATTGGCCTTTCCATACATTATTCTAATTATTAAAAGCTGTCTTTTCATTACTGTAGTATTTCCTTCATAATTTTAATATATATAAAAATTAAACATAATACTTTTTTCAGTTCTGCACTGTCAGGCTTTAAGGTTTTCAGCCACTGAATCAGTGCTCTTTCACTATGGCATGGTGTGATTCTATCAAGGCCAATATTTTCATTAGGAATGGGCTGAGATGAATTGGGCAGACAAATTAGATCAAAGTAAGTCAACATGTCTTGAAATACATCTGACGACCTTTCAGTGGCATTCACGGTGTGATTTCTATAAGTACATCCCTAGCATAAGAAATAAGAAAAAAAGTTGCATTAAACAAATATATATATAAAAATTTAATTACTACATTATAAATTTAAACACATCAAACTTGATGAACAGTTAATGAATTGAACTTGATACAGGTAATTGAAATACAGTTAAATATTTATTTATTAAATAATTCTTTAAGTATAAATTTTAAATCAAATAATGTAAATTTATTATAATATGTTACAGAACATAATCAGACATTAGAAAAACAACTTAAATTCTGAAAGTTATATACAAATTAACTGAATTCTTGATAAATTTTTCATCTTTTAAAAGTATACTTAATTATAAAATAAAGCAAAAATAATATATTATGTAAAGTAAAATTTATGTAAAGTACCTTTAACAACAAAAGACCTTTCTTAATATTTTTTTTAAACTTTTAAAAAGGTAATTCAATCACTAAACTTCCTCTTTCAGAATTAAAAATTAATGTGCTTCTGAAAGTTGGCAGATCTTTTTATGAAATTTAGTGCCTCTCAAAGCAATATTTTTAATTGATCAATATTAATAGATACCAACTGCATAAATTTTACACTTATAAATTTTTTCAGAAGTTTTAATTCAACTTTATAATAAAACATTGAGACTGCATGAAAATAGGCCCAACCTAGAATCATAAAACAATTACTTTAAATTTAAAATAAACAAAATTCATATAGATGAAAGATTTCTACACCACCAATGTTCATATTAATTTTTCTTGAAATACGCCAATCTAATTTGTATACATAAGTGGTTTTATTGAGTAACAGTACACATATTCAGCTTGACAATATCCCAGATTAAATATTCTAAAAATTTACATTTTCATGTTTTATCCACTGATTAATTTCTTATTTTGCTATGGCTGCATTATAGATTTTCAACTAAAGTCAATGGACAGTTTGTAGTAATAACTTCTGAGCTGCATCAAGGGTTAAAAAAGGAATTATTACTAATGGTATCATATTATTAACAGTCAATAAAAATTAGATTATCACAGATCTTTAAATTGCTTTTGAAATTATTTTTATCTCAGCTATTTCTTCCAAAACTATTTTAGATTAAAAAATGATCAGGTGGTGTTCTGCATGGGAGAATCTCATCTCCAACCTAAACAAATGTTTGTTTTTTAAGCTAACACCATAAACTGGAAATGGAATTTCAACTGATTTATGTATTACTTGTAACAGTACAGGAGTGTCATCCATTGGAACAAACTGTCATTAATATCCATTTTGGAAATTTTTCAGTTTTTCAAGATTTGATGTGTGTGTCTTTTGGATCACCTTATAACTCTCATGATAATGGTATTAAAATACAATGATTTGTTAAGTTATTATTAATTTTATTCAAAAAGTCCACTAAAGGAAACAACTGCATGTAATTAAATAGATTTGTTTCCTTATAATAACTGCGTCAAAATTTTTTATGCTCTTTTTTTAATACAATTAAAAGATCAAAGTAAATGTTTTTAAACAACATAGAAAAATTTCAAGAAATAATATTAAGACTGCAAATGTTTTTTGGATACTTTTAAATCTTTGGATATTCTATTCTAAATAATTGAAAAACTTGAATTGTGCCAGCAGATTAATATTTGAATAACAATTATACATCAGTGTAGTAACTACATAAAAATTATTATACAGGGAATACATAGTTAAATAAAAGTTCCAATAAAAAATATCTTATTTTTATAGTAGTTCAAAATCTCTCAGATCTTTATAAATTACTTCTCCAACAAACGCTGTTCCTATTTCCCATGCACTTGGTTTAAAACACAATTAGATAAATATGGACAAATGCTCACATATGCTTTATGGAAGTCGTATAATCATCTCCATGATTGCTATTTCTGCTATAATAAACATACATTAAGCAACATCTAATTCTTTAAAGCATTTCTGAATAATAAAAAACATTTATTCTGCTTCTGAGTTACCTTGGAAAGACTATAAAAATTGTTTCATTCTTTTGTGAAGGTTTTATGTGATTACAGCAAAGGCTCAAGGGCTATCTGCCTAAAGGGAGGGATGCCTTCGTGGAGGATTTTTTAAGGGGGAAACTGGCTCGTATACACATTACACATAGGGAAAAAGCATGAAAATGATTGAGATTTTCAGTCTTTGCTGACTTGAACTGCAGTAACACTTGCTGCCCTGATCCAAGGATGTTAGAATACATGGAGATGGTGCCTCTGCTGTTGCAGAATGAAGCCGGGGAAAGCAAATAAGCCACACCGTTTGCAACAAGAAAATGTTGCCATTAGTAAGTGAAGGACAGTTAAATGTCAGCTGGTCTAAAGTTCTGAGAGTGTTCTTTGATTTTCTATGTGAAGTTGTGAGAGGGCTGAAAGGTTCTAAATTATTACAATGAAATAATGTCTACATTTCAGGTTTCATTTCTATGTAAAAGAATATTTTTAAACATGCATAAATAATTACAGTAATTGAAATGTGCATTTGAAAAGCCATCAACAAAGAGTTTTGAGTATTTTCTCAGTGTAACGTGCATGAAGAAACATCTATAGTTCTCAGATTTTCCTTTTCATAATAATAAATGTTATAATTAACTGAGCTGTAAAAGCAAAATGGTAAGTATAAAAGGGAAGGGGGAGCAGACAGCAGCTCTTCATGGAAAAGAAAACACATTATTTAAAGTGTGGTCATATTATATTCCAAGTATTTTATTTCATGTATTTAATTTTATTTTCTGTTCATGTAAATATTTAATAACAGAATTTGATTTTTAGTTACATTTGCTGTGCAAGTTTTAAAAAGAACAATGCAGAACTTAATTTTTTTTTTTTTATCATTGTTCATTCAAGTTAAGATTATTCAAAATAAAAGTAGTATTTATAACATTAAAAATTTGAGAATTATTTATATTTAGAACAACTAAAATACAATTAATTAATGGTTTGAGTACTTACTTATTAGACTAGAAGTGAAACACACTAATGTGACAATCAAAATCGTAAAAAACAACCTTGTATTTAGCGTAGGTATAATGAAACACTCAATCGATTTCGAGGGCAGCTAAAGGTCCCTCCTCATCAGGAGAAAGAAATACATAGAAAGAAGAAAATAGGAGGAGTCACAGAAACACGTGGTCCTTATCAGCACTGCACGTGGTTATAACTAGATTTTTAATCAGAGTTGCACTGGCCGCCTACTTTTACTGAGCCAGGTTATCTGATCAAGCATAAAGAAATATTAGCGAAGTTAAAATAGGGAGCGAGGGGCAAATGCACCTTACGCTCAAAATCTGAACTTCAAATAATGGAAAGCAACCACTGAACGGATTTTTATACCCTCTGGTAGTACCATGGAGGTAGGAAGTAAGAAGGAGTCATCCTAAACAAGTTTCTCCGTAGCCTGCTCTGAAGCACCGGCGATCCCTACGTGGTGACCAAAACATTGGGTCATTTACCATTGAGTTCTATGGGATTTGACGCGTTCGGGTGTAAATATTTTGTAATTACGTCGCAAATATACATATAAAGTATATATTTTCTTTTTCTACAACACTTCAGAGTCCTAAGTATGTGAAAACAACATATTTTTAAACAACATTTCATTCTGAACGGAATTAAATGCTATACTTTTCACAGGACAGTTTTCTCAGAATGGTTTAATTTGAATGAAATATTTTCACAAGTTTTCGTTAATTACATTAGAAAAAAAAAATTAAGGTAATTCAATTTTATTCGGTTAAGGTACAAAAATTAAGATCAAAGTTTATTGTATTATTAATATTAAAATTATGCATTATTTCTTTTCTATTTATAGAGCTTCTTCCTAAAATACTTTCTTAAATATGACATGATTTTTTGGCTTCTTTTAAATCGAAAAATGTAAGTCAATTTATAATTAATGCTCTATTCGCTTCATTTTAAATTAGAGAATTATTAGGAATTAGCGAAATACTTTAAATAAGTATTTCGCTAATTCCTAATAATTAAATAGGTATTAAATAGTATTTGACTTTCTCTGAACATTTCTGAAAGGGAATAAAATAAGTTTTTTTTTAAGTATTATTTAAAACTTGTAACTGAGTTATTATAAAATGTAACGGGAATAATTCTTTTAATTATACTTATCAGATTTTTTTTTACCCTTCATTTCAAGCAATACATATTCCAAAACTCTTTTTATTACTTTCTTAAGTGCGCATCTCATAGCATTTGCTTTACAATACCTTTTAACAGATTGCTTTCTAATGCGAACAATTCTTGCTTAAATAGTTTTATAACGTATTTGTCACAGGATTTCAATTTATGTTTACAATTCAATATTAAGGTTATTATATATTTAGATAATATTTATAATCATTATAAATTAGATACATTTAATCAATTAGATTTCTTCACAGTACTTTCACAGTTTTTGATAAGTGAATAAATTCCTTCATTTCAAATACATTTATAAATAATTTAATGAAATATTTAAGTATTTTGTCAAAGGCAGATACATGCTTTTTGCAAGCACATGCATAAATACCCATACATATTTCCTATTTATTATTCCCGGCATGTGCAAATCTTTAATTTCTGTGCATTCACTATATTTTTCGTGTAAAGTAATTTACACTAATTTAGCATACACCCGAAAGTTTTACATAAAAAATATATATGAATATAATTTGAATGAAAATTATAAGTATTATTTTTAATACCCACTCAAAGTTCAGTTTTTCTTCAAAATTCCTCCACGATGGCATCTTCTCTTTTAGGCAGATAGCCCTTGCATGCGTTACTCTATTTAATAAAACTTAATCTGACCTATGTGCCTAATTACAAATATTTTAACATACATAATTTTATATTTACATTTAGCCATCAAGTTTCAAACTTTTCAAATCTTCTAGAAAATAAATTTTGAAAGATCTCTTTTAGCAATTTTCTTAAAATCTATATTTTTGTAGTGCAACAGCTTAGAATTTTATAAAACAAATTCATAATCAAAATCGCTGTTGTTAGTTA